TACTCATTACCGTGATATATCGCATTACCGAATACCGGCACAAGTCTAGTCTACACAAAAAAAAAAAACATTATGATTGAAATAAGGACATTTGGAAAAACACCCCGCCTTGTTGTGGACCAACATTCTCAACAATCCAGATTAATCCACTGCGTTTCCGTTCTCAAATAAACCTGCTTCCCTTAGCTAGTTTTTCACTGTAACATTTGTTTGTCTCGTTCGGAGGCCGACTCCGCAACGAGATGAAAAGCTCAGTTCAAGTGCTGATCCTGGGGAACGAGGATGCATTTGTAATGATGTGCCAAGCTGCAACTGGCTGCTAATGCTTTTCATGCTTGTTTTAGCACTAGGAACGTTGCGATGTATTCCTCATTACCCCTGTGTTAAGTGTAAATACAGACTGCCTGGTGAAAGGGGTGAGAGAGTTGACATATGTTTCTTTCGCCTTTCTCTTTTTCTCTCTATTAACGTAGCCAAGGAACGCCTGTGTAAATATGTGTGTTTCTTCCCTCCGTTTCGTATAATAGTGACCAGTATCGCCTTTCCCCCTCGACCTCGCTATCTGAAACCAATTACAGTAGATCCATTTGGGCAGAATCGTATTTTCATAAGGATTGTGAAGCCCTTGCAATCATGTGTTTGTGTGCGTGTCTTCCGTGTGCGCTTCATTGTACTGAATGTGCAAGTTTGTTTCTTTCTGTTCTTTTTTCTCCCCCTCCCAGTCCTTAGAGATAGATATCAACATCAAATATGTTCCTGAGTGCCTTGTTATTTACGCTCCAGCCCGGGTTCTCCTTGAGCTCCTAGCTCTGAGGAATGTGATGCATTGTGCTGTTTATACAATGTGTGCATTAATGGATGGCAGCCTGCGTTTCTTCTGCACAGCAACAAAACTTATAGGACGAAGAAAAGCAAAGCAAAGCAAGCAGCTTCCAGCCGTCCAGCAAAACTTCAGTGGTTGCTTTGCTTTTGTTGAAACTGGAAAGCACCTAATATGCCTTTGTGTTGCATTCTGGGTATTTTCGCACAAGGGCGAATATCAGCTTTATAATGCGGTGTTGTCACTAATAAGGAATGTTTTTGCAACATTACAGGACAAGGACAGATGAACAGTTCTGCTGGAAACATTAAAGGAATTGTTCAGCCAAAAAAGTGAAAGTTCAGTCATCATTTATTCACCCTCCCTCCGTTATTCCAATCCTTTAGGACTTTCTTTCATTCATTGAACACAAAAGGAGAATTTTTCTGGTCACTCTTCCATATAATGAACATGAGGACTGAGGCTTCCGAATGGCAAAAAAAATATCATTATAGTAGCCCATACGGCTTGTGCGCTTTATTCTTCTTTAATCAGTCAGATGCAAAATTATGCCATCTTATGGACTGTTTACCATTGTGTTTGGATCATCGAATTCAAGAACCAGGTCAGTCCAATTCAAATGAATGGTGTAGACTGGTTTTGTGAACAGATTCAATGAATCTGATTCATTTGTTTATGAATTGGCTGTCTTTTCAGTCTGTTCTTTACACAAGAATATAGAGTCATGTGGACTACTTTTATGCATTTATGGTGCTTTTTTGCCTTCTGAAGCCAGTTTTATGTAAAGAACGAACTGAAATTTCAGTGGATTCATGAACAATTTAATCAGATTTATTGAACCTGTTCACAAAATTAGTCTAAATGATTCATTGAAATCAGATTTGTCTGATTCTGGAACTTTTATTGTCACTTTGCAGCTTACCAGTTTCCATTCACCTTTGTTATATTGAAAAAGTGGCCCAGAATAGTCTTCAAAATTTTGTGTTTCAATGAAAACAGAATGTCACATGGGTTTGGAATGAGGGTGAGGGAGTAAATAATCACACGATTTTAATTTTGGGGAGAACTATCCCTATAATATGCAAAGTGGAGTTGATTACATTCCCCCACCTTCCCAGTGTTCACGTTCATATTGGAAAAGCCATTAAGCTGCTCCGTCCGTGTGCTGTGGGAAGTGCCACTCTCCTGACCTCTACTGTGCATTGAATGACTTTGTCCTTTTATTCATCAGAGGACAGCGAGTCCGTATCGATCGGGGCTCGGATAAACATTTCCTCCCGTTAATTGTTGTGCTAAAGCCATTAGCCGACCCTAAAGTCACACAGTCACAATCACCGCTTGGATGGGCATGAAATCTCCTGCAATTTACAATCTCATCCACGCGGTCCTGCCGATAATGACTTGGTGAGGGTACTTATAAGTCACTCATGCATCCTAAAGTACCACGAGGACCATAACTAATCGATAAATGCGTCTTTTAGAACGGAAAAATAAAGCAGGGTGATTTGCGTTAACTTTCTCCGCCAACTTAGTACGCTACTTGATTAGTTTGCAAAACATAAAACCTTGTTGTTTTTTTTCAAAAACGTATCCGGTTAGACAAGTATGCCCCATTCAAAGTGCAAGACTCTGATTGTTGTCTGTTTGGTTCGTTCAAAGACAGGACAGGGAACTGATTTGAAGTAGTCCAGCTCTCCTCCACATCCTGGTGTCCCCTGAAGTATCAGACAAGGGCTGTGTGTGCATCAGAGGAGACAGATCGATGCTGTTAGGACCCAGCGCCACTGTGTTGTGTTTGTTTACCAGGAGCTCGGAGAGCCTGGCTCCTCACTGCACAGCCAGACAGACAGTGGCAGCTCCTCGCCCTGTCTCTTCATAATTGATCAGGGGGATGACTGCCTTCCCAGTGGGTTAAGACGTGGCAACTTTTCCCCCATCTCTCTCTCTCTCCCTCTCTTCCTTTCTCCCTCACCTCTCTCTCTCTCTCCTTCTCTCCCCCTGTTTGCTCAGCATCTCAATGTACTAGTTCAAACATTGTTCTCACCAGCTGGCAGAGCAGTGCCATATGCACATCCTGTCAAGGCAGCTGTTGTCATGGATACTGGCAAGCACCAGGAAATAAAACAAGGCCTTGATTCTGCTGGAAGAAGTGTCACTCTTTATCTGAAGGAGGGTTTTTTTTTTTGTTCTTCGCACCCCTCGACCTTCTCTCTCCTCTTTCCCGACAGATGAAACACATGTGAAGTTATTGTGTTGTTTATATTGCTTTATTTATTTTGTTGCTTTCTCCTTGTTTCGAGGAGCTGAGGCCGTCTGTGGCTGTGTTCACAGAGTCGTTGTTCACTTCTGTCTACGGTTGACATACAACTCCAGGAAATCTGGAAAGAGTTGTTTTCCTTTGAAGGCATGTATCAGTATTCCTGTAGGTACATGAGGAACACTGTAAGGTACCTCATTTCAACCTAACTGGCATCAGGCTTGCACACATATTCTGTAAGGTTTTTTTTTTTTTTTTTTAAGAAAAAAAGATTATTAAAAAATGTTTTTACATTTTCTGAAGAAAAAGGAACTGATGGTTGCTTATGCAAAAGTTGGTAGGATATTGAGGGCGAGTATTTTTAGGTGGTTGCTAAGTTGTTCTGGGTAGTTATTAGGTGGTTACTTACTGGTCCAAATCTAAAGAGCCCAGAAATGGTGAATGGTTGCTAGGGCATTTCTAGGTGGTTGCTAAGGTGTTCAGAATGCTTGTTAGTGCGTTGTTACAGGGACATAGTTGCTAGGAAAATTTTAAGTGGTTGCTAAGGTGTTGCTAAGTGATTGTTAGTCCATTTCTATGGGGACGTTGGTGAGACATTTCTAAGTGGTTACTAAGGTGCTATGAGTGATTGTTAGTGTGTTGCTAGAGTGGTTTGGGATGGTTGCTAAGGTGTTCAGGGTAATTGTTAGATTGTTGCCATGGTGGGTGGTGGTTAGGGCATTTCTAGGTCATTGCTAAGGTGTTCAGAGTGATTGTTAGTGTGTTGCTATGGTGAGTTGGGTGGTTGCTAAGGTATTTATGGTTGGTCACTAAGATGTTCTGAGTGTTTTTATGTGGCTGTGGCAATGTGGGTGGTTGCTAAGACACAAAATATTGTTTACATTTTATGAAGAAAAATGAGTGATCAGTCGCTGCTATGTTGCTAGGGTGTAGTTGGTGGTTGCTAGGGTGTTGCTATGGTGATGTGGATGGTTGCTAAGGCATTTCTAGGTGTTTTCTAAGGTGACCTTAAGGTGATAAGGTGAGTGATTGTTTTTTCTAGGTTCATTTTTCTAGGTTTCTTTGTTCATTTCTAGGTGGTTGCCAGGTGGTAGCTTACTGGTCCAAGTTAAAGAGCCCAGAGGATTCACTCATACAATGTAAATCTATATGATTTTTTTTCCCCTGTGTTTTCACCAGCATGCCATAAATCATTAGTTTGATCCCCTATAAACAAAAGTAATAGGTCTCATTCATGTCTGTAGCACAAACAGGATGAGTTAAAATCTAAAGTTTAGGGTTAAAGATTTGAACAAACCCCTAACACTAAGTAGGAGCAATAGGGACGCTTGCCTTAGCAACCAAATTTTCTTGTATTGTTATATGACATTAGAGAAGTAGTTATCTGGTGTGATTTGGCAGAGAAGGGCCGGCGTCACCCCTGTGCTCAGGGGCCCAGCTAATGCTCAGCTCCTTGTTAATTCACTCCTGAGGTAATCTGATGTTGATTTTGTCAACTTTAATTACAGCTTCTAGGAACACTTCATGTCGCCTGCCTCTACTTCAAATTGATATTATAAATATGCAAATGGGCCGGTAATTTGCAGAGAAGTGGGTATTTCAGCTGAGCACACACTAGACAGGTCAATACCACTGACACTCTCTGTGTGTGTGTTTTTTTTACCCCCTCATGCTCTTCAGAGGTGCTAGACAAACTGTATTTATCTTTCATCACGGCTTCGTGGATTATCATGAAAAATGTATGTCTGAGAGACGCTTCATGGCTCATCAACAACAATGAATAGTGTAGTGGATTGAATGCGCCGGGTTGATGTCATCTTTCACAGTGTTTGATATTTGAGTGTGCTGGAGTTGAAGGGGAGGAAGAAGGATAAAAAAAAAAACTCATTTTGCGTCTCTTTTTCTCTTTTCTTTTCTTTGCAGGCCCTACGAGCAGCAAGGCAATTACTCCTACATCAACCAGGCAGTGGCCTGAAATCTCCAAAGAACAACGACAAACAGCGTCTGTTGCAGGTGAGCAGTTCCTCGCTAATCTCTTAAGTCCATCCATAATACATGGGGCTCTGGAAAAGATTTCCTCTGTTCCAGCTACTCTGTTTGATTTGGCAATGTAATTCTGGAGCTGTCAGTAAAATTTCAGCCTGTCAGGCCTGCCCTTCTCCAAAAGAAACCAAACAAAATACCTCACACCTGAAACCTTTCTGTTGTCTACAGCTACATTACCTCACCTCCTCTGTTGGGCAACCTTGAAATCTTTGCTGTGAAAAGATATTGACATATTAAAGGAGTATTCGGGGTTCAGTACCAACTCAATTGACAGCATTTGTGTCATAATTTTGATTAACACAAAAAATAATATTGACTTGTTCCTTGTTGTCTTGTTGCCTGGTTGCAGTGAGGCACTTACTATGGAAGTGAATGGGATTCATGTTTTGATGTGTACCTTATAATTTTTTTTCTGTTAAAACATGTATTATTTGTGCTATAAAGCTGTCATTTTAAGTCATTTTAGGGATTTAGGAGTTGCGTTATCATTGAATACAGAAGCTGTTGGTAATCCATTTTCTCATGCTAAAATCATGTTAACTCACATTGTTAACGTTTTGTGGTGAAACAATGAGTTTAAACATTTATGGATTGGGCCTCATTCTGCAAAGTCCTTTTTTTGTGGTAATTAACACTATTAACGAAGAATAAAACGTTTTCGGAAACTTTCTATTGGATTATTTACAGTACAATCCCGCAAAAACCAAATAGCAACTCTTCCTGGCTTCTTGTAGCATTGCGTATTCTAACTAGCTGTCATTTGTACCCCTCCAAGATAATTTGCCATTATTGATTCCAGCTGCGCCACATCGCTATTGTCAGTGATTTAGTAAAGGTCACAGCAGCATCGTGCACGTCGCATCCCCTATTACCAGACCTGTTTACTTACCCACTGAGTGCCGATGTGTTATTTCTCTCACATCTCCACAATACAAAAGCGCCGCCTCAAATTATGTAAACGCTTGACATCTGCCAGGCTCTGTATTTTTAGGTTTAAATTAAGTGTGAGAGAGAGAGTGCCCTCCTCCCTGCTAATAAGTGCTATCAGCTAGCAGTGGTTTACTTCATTAGTACCCCGTGCATTTAATTAAAGGAAGGAAAATTGGCGCTAACCCTCGTTGTTAATATTTTCACAGAGTATAACAATGGCGACACCTTCTCCAAGAGTCACACCCTTTTGTATCTAATTATGCGAAAGTTAAAGATTTGGTGCCTTTCGCTTTTAATGTATTCAGGCCGGTTTGGGCAAATATGGCTTTGGATATTTGGGAAATCAAAGTTTTTCCTTTTGTTTTATTATTTTTCGCCTTCTGTGTGAAGATATTCGTTGTAAAGCAAAGCCTAGGTGGATGCACTTTCGTGTATCTATTGTAGTTTCGCAGCTGTCTGTATACTCAGGGAATGGATTCCCGGCACACAGCGTGACTGCAAATTGCCGTGCGATACTTCCTGAGGAATCCGAGTGATATTGGATGAGGAAGGTCTGTGATAACTGGTAGCCCATGACCGAGCCCCTGACTCTAATAACACCAGAGGATGGTAAATATTGAATATTTACATTTGCTTATGCCATCCTTGCCTCATGTTAGCCATATGAATCAATATGAATCAGGGCTTGTTGAGTGCTGTCTTCAGGCTGTAGTTAATCAATGATGTTGATCCTTTTCTGTATTGACTTATTCGGTGCTGTTTTAAATGTCTAAATGTCTAGTAATCCTTTATTGCCTCAAAACAATGTTTAAAGGAGTATTCCATGTTCAGTTACCCAATTAAGCTCAATCAACAGCCTGTTGATTACCACAAAAATTATTTTGACTCTTTTCTTAAAAAAAAAAGAGCTCTAAAGTTGTTTAAATCATTTTTACAGTTGTTTTAGGATTTATGGAGGTACATTTTCATAGCAACAGTTGTAAAATTGGATATAATTTTACACAGGTTAGAAAGCAGTTTTTCACACTAAAATCATGTTAACACCCATCTTGTTCATGTCTTGTGGCCGTACTATTGAAACTGTGTGTATTTTAACTTTTATACATTGGTTCCATTCACCTCCAATGGAATATTTCTGTAAATATCTTTTCTCTTTGATCGCTACACTTTTAAACACTTACAAAAACTCAAATACAAAAATGTACATGTACTTAGATGTGCCAAGTAACAAGCATTTTGAAAAATTGCTTATTTACATAAAAAAGTAAATGCCTGCTCGTTCCCTGACACTGATGAATCCGCCCCTTTCCCTGTCCAGGAAAGGCAGGGAAAGTGATCCATAGATCATGGCGTATAAATTATTTACTGCACATGCATCTAAGTGCTGGAGCTCTCAGTTTTAATTACTTGTATTAGTGTCTAAAGCCTGTCGGCTGACTAATTCTATCCAGCGCTTCATCTCGCGCTTTTGACATGCACAGAAGCCGCTTTTCCACATTTGCGTAATGTGACAGGTCTATTATTACCCCGTAAGCCCAGAGGAGAAGTCAATAAACACCTATTTCTTCCCTGTAAATCCTTGTGCCTTCTCCATGCTGCTTACAAGGATTTCCCAAGGCACACAACAGTCCTCTCGCGTCGTAGCGCCTCTCCCTCTTAGTGGCAATATGTCCTGTACGTTTTATTCACTGACATTTAAAACACAAATAAAAGACGAGAGGACGAAAGGGAAGGGGGATTACAGAAAGCTTGCGCGAATGGCAATTGTGTCTCCTGTCCTCCCAGTCAGCCCAGCTGCCATTCTCCAACTATAAGCTACATGCCGGTTTGTTTGTTTGGCTCTGTGTGCCGCCCAGGTGTCTCGTCCTGATGGCAAGATGGGCATTTAACAGTGTGAAAACACATGTTAGCGATACTGAATACTGACGAAACGGCGGTTAGAAGCTAACAGGAGGATGCTGAACAAACAGAGACATGTGGGTGTGTTACAATGGGCTGTTGTGGTGATATAATACAGCTGTCTAGGTGTCAGGAAGGTGTTTAAAGAGGTAGAGTTGACCTCTGACCTTTTGGCGGTGTGGACTCAGAGAGCGATATCTTCAGCATTAACAAGGTGAAACAACCAAACAAAGCAATTTTAGTTCACTAGCATGCAACTACGGTACACTCTACAGCGGTTGTGTCGGCGACAGAAACATACAGCCAATACTTTGACCTTTTCTTGTTCATTTTAAACCCAACACGCTTTGCTAATGGAACTTTTTCACAACCACACATCCTTCCGGAGGCTTCCTCGTTCCTGCTTTTGGGAAGGACAGCTGAGCGGCTCGTTGCTCGTGCGCATTCCAAGACGAGAGAGAAGTAGCAGATAGCTCAACCCAATCACTTCCTGAGCAGTGAGCAATCCTCCGAGTGTCGCCGATTTAAAGGTCAGCGACGCACAGCTCATCTGAGCGTCAGACTCCTGTGCCATGTTCCTTAAAATTCATCTACTCATACCACCAACTGGAACCGTGCACAAAACCGGCAGAATTTATAAAAGGAGACTCGTGCCCTCATATTATCATTGATTATTAACAGCATTCACACAACTGTAGGGTGGTGCACCATTCAGACGAGAATTTGGAATGCCTTTTAAATTCCATTTCAGTTGATTGGAAATTAATTTGAATTGAGGTCGCAAAAATTACAATTTGAATTTGAATGTAAGAAAGTAGAATTCAAATAAATTGACATTCAAAGAAGTTAATAAAACTAACTTAACTAGTGTAATGTGGGGAGCAATGGATGGCAGGTACGATGTGGATCTAAGAGCAAGACTTTACATAAAAACAAGGCAGGAAAGAGAATATGTACATCCAACAACTAACCAAATATAGGAAACACAAGGGATATTTATACAGGCTAGGTTGATGAGGGTAACAAGAAACGAGGCATAATTGGGGAGACAATCAAGGGGAACATGAAAGTCCAAACAAACAGAGAACTGGAAACGCAAGTTTTGGCAAGAAAAACTTTGAATGATTGCTTGATAAAGTCTTGTTGGAAATTTTGATAAAAGTTAAAAAACCATTGAAGTTCGAATGTTTATAGGCCTCATAGGTAGAAGTTTGTGTTTAGATTGCCATGAACGCACATCCTGAACGTACATTCCAATTAAAATTCCATTTCAGCTTTCTGTGAGGTGTGATCAATTCAGTTCAAATTCCAACAAAGTTCGGCCACTCCAAAACGATGGAGGAAGGAAAAACCGCTTTTGCAGATTTGTGATATTTGGTAACCAGGAAAACATCCTACTTTACACCCAGTAACCTGAGCTAGTGGGCAGTGTGTGTAAATTACAAGGGATTCGGTTTGCAGGGACTCACATTGCAATGCAAAGGAAGTTGAAGCATAACCCTTAGGCAAGAGCCAGTGGAACGGTGGGAGTGGGGGGAAAAATAGTGCCATGGCACCACTTTGATGTAGAAGCAACAACTGTACCTTCTGACAGAAGATGCATGAGAGTAATAAACCAGTTCCAGCAGCCCTTACACATGCAGTCTGATTACTCTGGCCAGGGTGTTAATTGGATCCTAACTGGCAGATCTGATACGTGTAGCCCTGTGGTGGGAAGTCTTTCCAAGTGATGAACTATAATTCAGCGAGCTGCTTGAAGCTTGTGTAATTTACTGTGTGTCACTTGACGAGGAGAGCAATCCAACAGACTCCCTATTACCTGCGCCATCACAAAGCTTTCAAGAGAGAAGAGGAGGGAGGCTGATGCGGAGTGAGCGTGAGAGACAGATTTCCCTGTAAATGCCACACGATGTGCCGTTTCAGATATGATAACTAACATATTTGAGAAAAACAAAGGAAGACAACTTTCATACTTGTGTAGTCTTCATTCTTATCTTACAAACTCTTGAAGATCACATTTGGTGGATATATTTTTTTCTTCAATAGTAGTCTTAGTCTTTTGGATCCCATTATGCATTTCAAAATCTTTTCTTTGAGTGGTTTTGTAGCTTGATCTCAACTATTCCTCACGTAGTTCCCTTCGGAAAGCACACTAGTCTTAACTTCCTGTAGTACACATTTGATCCCTCCCTTCATTCACAAAAATGAAAGTGTGGTTATCTAAATCTGTGTGGAAGGTCCATTGTATCCCTGTTAGATCTAACAGAGGCCACATCCACTCTGTCATCATTTGAAGTGCATTACACTTCCCATACTGTTTTGCTGAACTGTAAAATAAATTGATTTGGGAAAACATTCCTGTAATCTACTTAACTCCGATCCTGGGGAGCGTCCGCATTGATCTTATAATCCAAACGATCACTGTGTGAGTATGTGTGTATGTATGTTAGTGTGTTTCAGGTTTAGATTAGTGCAAGTATGTGTTTATGTTGACTCTTAAATCAATGAGCATGTGTATTGGTGGTCCCCAAGTAAAGCAACTCCATCAATAAACCCTTGACTGTGAAACCATTAATTACTGACTGAATTAGCAATCATAGCTTTACCAAAGTGGAAAGGTCAGAATCTTTTCCGAAGTCCATTCCTTGAGAATGAGATATTGAGAATTTGTGGAACAATAAGAGTCTGTTTCTTTCTTTATTTCTACCTCTCACTTTTTCCAACTAAAAAAGGATTTACCACTTAATTAACATGCTGTCCCTTTCTGCTAAAGTAATTGCCATCACCTATTTACCCCCCCTATTTATCTGAGCAGTGTCTCTGGCAAGTGGTTCTCTAAAGTGGCCCATGATTCAGCGTGTTCAGTCTGAACACGTCTGATCCAGAAACTTAATTCATCAAGAGAATCAAATCACTTCTGTTTTAGCTAGTTAGCACTTATATTAATTATAATTATTTAACACGGCTCTTTCAGACGTTGTTGTTGGCAGGGCTGTGTATCTGCAAGAATCTGGCGATGCAATATGCATCACGATACAGGGGTTGCGATACGATATGATGCGATATATTGCGATACTGTAAGCAAGGCGATATATTGGGATATTTCTTATATTAGGAATAGGATATAATTTTAGGAAAGCTGTCATTAAGAGCACTTCACCATATGCAAACCTTAAAAAAAAAAGTTATTTAACCAGAACACAGTGGGATTTGCATTTGCATTAATTAGTCCCTGTAACATTCAACGTCATTGAACCACTTTTTGTGCAGTATGAGTAAAGGGGGAAAAATAAAGTGCTTGCAGGATTCTTTAGTTAAATGTATAAAATGTAAGCTGTTATAAACAGACCATATATATATTTTAGATCCTGCTTTAAAGGTTCACAGTTTAAGTTTAAAATTGTAACATACCATGTCATAACATTTTGATCTGATCAAAAGAATTACATCTGCTTAATATCAATGAAAAATAAAGTGCTTGCTGCATATGGGAACATATGGGAACAAAGAACATGAAGAACTGTCTGAAGAACATGAGCACACGTGAACACACACAAGTGCGTGGAGAGTGTCAGTGTGTGAATGCGGTGGAGAAAATTAAATGCAAATTCACTCCAAAAGTAAAAGTGCGCTTCATGACTTACATCATATCAAAGTCTAGTTATGAACGTCAAGGATAAAAGATTTGTAGCTGTTTTAGTCGTTTAAAACACATCCTCAATTATCTAATTATGTGCAGCTTAGGTGCAGTGTTAGTCAAAAATAGACTAGGCGCCTATCTTTAGCAAAGCAGCGCAGAGAGCCGCTTCTGGAACGTGTTTTTTTTTTAAATATATATAAATATCGATATTGTGTTTTTGAGAATCGATACAGTATCGCCAATCAAAATATTGCGATATTCACATGTATAGATATTTTCTTACACCCCTAGTTGTTGGAATTACACCGATGGGACATTTGATGTGTTTTCAGGTACTGCAAGAAGGGTCAAGTATTGCGTTTTTCGTTCTTATGATGTGGAGTTGACTGCCGAGACCCGTTTTGGCATAGTGAGAGCCCTGTAATGATTTGCTCGTTCTTCAGGAGGGCCACTGATGTTTTCTCATCACTGACCAATTTAAAGCTATTTGTTCTACTCTCTCTCTCAGGTGCTGAGCCTCGTGGCGCTAAAGAGCAGGTCAATGGAGATCATCTTGTATTTGTAGTTTTCCAATAGAAATCAAAGCTTCATGGATTGCCATATTTAGACGTGCTTGTTGTTTAAAAGGAGAGTGAGAAACAGATGTCTGCTGATGGTCTGTAAGTAAATTTTCTCACAGCACAAGTGCTTCAAGTGCAGATGATTGAAGTTGATGCTTTGATTCGTGAAGAATGCCATTATCTGTGAAGTTTTCTAGCACTTGTTGGGTTGCATCATTGCCCCTCACAGTTGTATTCTTCATCTGGCATCCTGTGAGGGAAAAGACCAATTGTCTGACTGTTTACCGCTCGACCCTTCGGGAAACGCTCATTAATTATGCCCCGTCTTGGTGAAATCATTTCGGGGAGAAGCAATTCAGCCTCTGTTCCTTTCAATTCACCCAGCTTGTCAATCATCGCCCCCCGCAGTATCCCACGGAATGGAGGTGTTATATTCCGCCAATTATCATGTCATATACTCGAAAATGTAAATGAACGTGTGTGTAAAATTAAATTTATGGGTTGTCAGTGAAGAATAAGAACCAGGAGAGCAATTACTTATCTGCTTTCATCTTTCAAGCTCTGATATATCATGCAGAAAATGCCGGCGTTAAATGCTGGAATTAGCATTATGCGCGGCTCGGAAGTGAGTGGGACGAAACTTCAACTTTCTCATCTTTTTTTTTGTTTGGAAAAGCGATGAAATGAAGATGCGTATTATCCGTCGATCTGCTAAAAAGCTAATGAGAGGCTGAATGGCATATCCTGATTTCATTTTATTTCTTGTCGCCTTTGTCATTTCGAGTCTGTCTTTGGCAAATTCGAGGCGAAAATGCAACATCAGATTACACAAAGTCAGCTATGGGGGATAAATAAACTTAACGAATTGTTCTGAAATTTACATGTTTATTGTATTAGCCGCACCATGGTGCAGGCGAGGTGATCGTTCGTTATTCAGTCCGTAGCTCATTTAAATATACAAATAATGGGTGTAATGAGAACATCTCCTCTTGTATTTTCATGCTTTGGTCTTTATATTGTCATTTAGGCCGGCGCAGAACCCTGGCTGAACCTGGGGGTAATTACACATCACAAATGTGTCTTAAGGTTTAATAACATTGAAGGTGTAAGCATACATTTGCATAATTACATGCAGCTGTTTAATTTGTGACTTTGTTGCTTTGTTCCTTTGTTTTGTTTTTCTTCCGAAACCTCCTCCCTCGTCACAACTTTTCTCCCCCCAAAGAGAGACAGACAGACAGAAGTGAATTTGTGTGTGCACTTCCCTCCGTGGTGGTGCTCGTTGAGTTGAGTTTTAGGGCCAGTCTAATGAAGAATGGTGCTTGGATTTGTTTGAATATGAATATGAGTGGGGATGGAGTGTGACCTTCAGCTCCGCTACTCAGTTCATCAGGATTAGTCAAGCTCGGCACTCAGGAGCGCTAATGCATAATGACTTCTAAAATGAAAAATGTGTAGTGACCATGCAAATGTCTCTGCTAATCAAAGAGGGGAACCTGAGCTGGGCCGAGCCAGGAGACTAAAACAAGGACATGTCAAGGCCCTGAGAGCTCAGACGTAAGGAAAGCAATCAAGCGGTCTTGATTAGCCGACGCGAGGAGTCACTTGGACCCCTCGCAACGTCTAATGGAGCCTTGTGTCTTTTTCTCAAGCTCCGACACCACAACAATAGAGATGTTTACCTGTCATGACGCCGAAGGCTCGGCTGCCTTGATGATAGACAGCATCTGTCGAAGCTGCTCTGTTGGACGAAGCAACATTCAGCATGCTTCATAAAGTACAAAGAATGCCCTGAAGAGTCAGCTGTAGACAGGTGCAGCGTCCAGGAAAAAAAGAATGGTTTCTGTCTTTCTCAAAAAGCATTTGTCTGGCAATTATTTTTATTCTGTTCATTGTGCAGTTTTAGACGCGACCGAAGAATCGAGCCAAATTAATGTAAATGTTGCATGTTTCCAGAAATCCCGCTTGCTTTATTTCAATGCTGGGCTGCGAAAATATTTTCTTTGTTTTGTTTTTTTAGCCGAAAAAGTTCTCTCGCACAGTTTGACAGCTGGTATTTTAATGATTCTTATCATTTAAAAAATGACATGAATTTTTAAAAATGACATTTCGTGGAAGACTTGTGCCTCTGGCTGCTTTCTTCCAAGCGTGCAACTTGGAAACTTCAATGCGCAGCGAGAGGCAACTGGTAATTCCCCTCACCTCTGTAAAACAGAATACTTCACAGCAGCTCAGCTTCAATCAGGAGTTTCTCACAGACTTATCAAAGCTTCAAACCCTCAGCAGCCTGAATCCATGCTACTTAGCTTAGCTGCTCCTCAACAGGCCATGTGTCCGCTTACGACCCACAGTCAGCTCTGGAGATGTGCGTCTTCCTGCCTGCCTTGTGTGGTGTAGCACTAGAAATCGCCTGAGGGAGTTGAAGGGTTCAGCTAATTAAGGTCCTCCACTATTTAAAGCGCAGTGCTTTTCCCATTGGGAGTAGCTGACAGAAAATATATGGAGTAAGAAAGTACACATGCACTGCCAAATGATTGCATATACTGCACTCGCACCATTTCCAGAGAGTTCGAGAAGCTCATGACTTTACAGTTGAAGAGTTTTCATGAGACATGGTTAATGTGTCGTTCTCGCCGTCTCTATATCTCTTAGGTGCCAGTGTCTGTGGCAATGATGAGTCCACAGGTGATCACACCCCAACAGATGCAGCAGATCCTTCAACAGCAGGTCCTGTCCCCCCAACAGCTCCAAGCCCTCCTACAACAACAACAAGCAGTCATGCTTCAGCAGGTGAACACACATATAAACACCCTATTACTCACTGTCCCATATGCAGTCATGTTTTGAAATGGTAGCATACAGATCCTCTCATCTGTCCTTGACATACTTAGATCAGAGAAACAAATATGGACAGGCGTGTAATTAGTTGTTTTCAGTGGGGACATCTTTTGGGGACAAATGGAGCACAGAAACAAGAAAGTCAAATGGAGTTATCTGTACGTGAACTTGAACACTTTGGAAAAACACAAGCTTGATTTCATGTGTTGTTTGGTTCATTAATTGTGTTTTTATAGTTGAAGCAATGGCTGATATAGTGAGCTTTAGCATAAATTAGCATTCTCTCCCACATTGTTCACTCCTCCTTCTACAGGTTTTCTTTTTTATCATAATGAAGCAGTAGTTTGAAGATTGAGCAAGTTTGTTAAACTCTCAATATGTTAGCTAAATTAGCTATAATAGACATTTGACATTTGTAAATTTTTTTGGTCTTTTGTGACTGTAAACCAGCCTAAACTGTTTGCTGGTCTTAGCTGGTTTCCAGGCTATTTAATGTGCAGCTGATTGAGCTGGGAGACCAGCTAGCTGACCAGCTAAACCAGCTAAAACCCATCTTGGCCAGGCTGGGAGACCATCTTTAACAAGCTAAGACCAGCAAACCAGGTTTAAGCTGATTTTTCAGCAGGCGTAGTACTGTGGTGATATGAAATGATAAGGAAAAATGACTCACACTTCGATTGTCCGCATGAGCACCACGTCATATCGTAGCATGTGAGCTAACAACTAGACCACGTCTCTGACAAGAGTAGATTATATCTTCAAACATGATTTTAAAATCTCTCGGAGTGAGCTCTTCATTAAAAACATCTCCATTATCTCAGCCTTGATTATAATTAGGTCTGTATAAACGGTGATGAGCGTCTTGTGCTGAAGACGTCTCCCGCTGAACGAGACGGGAGAGCTTGGCTCCTGTATTGCAACGATGGGCTCTTGAGGACAGCACTCTGAGAAGAAGAGAAGTGTGCTAAATGCATTAATTCACAATGATGAATCCTCTCCTTTGAGTGCATCACATTCATTTCAGAATTTCACTGCCTGTCAAGGCATCAGAGAGGAAAAATATATAGGCAGTAAGATTAATTGTTCCTCTAGCGGTAATGTGCAGCCGCATAAAAGTCCATATGGCGACGCATGATGAGGGGAAGTGCTGGTCTCTTTGTCTCGACCGGAAAGAGATGTTATTTATGATGTGACATGCAGAAGCACATCCATGCATGCCGTGCAGCCTCAGGAGCCCAGAGTCGGCTACGAATATGTTTGTTCTGTTGTAGCTCTGCTTTGAGGTACGGCCACACTTATGTGGGAAAAATGAAATAAGGAATAGATACATTTTCAAGCCATATACAATAGGCACTTTGTTTTGTCACAGATGTAGTCTAGCAGTTACTGCATTTGTTCCAAGCACTTAGGCAAACTTTTTGGGAAAATGGAATTAAGCAGAAAAAGGAGTATGAGATTTGTTCAACTGGTTTGTTTTGGTTTGTTTTCAAGCCATTTATAACAACTACTTTCTTTTGTCACAACTTTAGCCTAGCATTTAGCACATTTGCTCTAAGAGTGTTTACACTAACTGCATTTGCTCCTAGTGGTTAGTGCAAACGCTATTATGATGTACTTGATGGGAAAAGGGAAACAAGCAGAAAGTACTATGAAATATTTTCAACCAAAGATTTGATCATCTGTTATAAATTAGCCTAGAGGTTAGCGCATTTGTTTTAAGTGTATACACTTTTGTATGGTTTGTTTCGTTCCACACATTGTAATGGCGGATGTCCATGTCTTTCCACAGCAGCACCTGCAAGAGTTTTATAAGAAACAACAGGAACAACTCCATCTACAGCTTTTGCAGCAACAGCATCCAGTAAAACAAGTGAAAGAGGTACGATAAACATACCAGTACACACATGTAACAGGCAAAGTGATGGTTTCCCTTGCGTTCGCCAACCACAAGTGACTTGTAAATCAGTCTGTGCTATCATTACAAGAGGGAACGCTCTTTTACCACAAGAGGAAACTTCTTCTGAATGCTACCGAATGATGCAAAGTGCAAAAATTAGGCAGACAAGACAACGTTGTCAGGTGCCTCAACTCCGTCCTTGGCGGCAATTCAGAGTTACACTGACGTTAAAATGCCCGTTTTAGAGTACCGCGCAGGGTCCATTCGTTAATGAACCACCGTGGCGGGTTTGGGCCGACGAGCAGAAAAGTTCGACCGTAGCGAACTCATAAATCAAACTGACAGTCAGACCGTGGAACCGTCTGACAAACAGACAGAACGAGACTGAGAGGGTTGCTGACACACAGGAGCAGGCATCAAAAAGCGAAGTGCGCCAAAGAGGGGGTCTTTGAACGTGCGGAAGCAGTTAAATTGATCAGCTAGGTATCGTGGATGGGAAACGTCCCCCGCCCCCAGCAGTCTCTTCAACTAGCACCTTCTACCATTGTCTCTCATCAAGCAAGCCATTATGCAGGGCCTACAGAAAGCAGGACTGACCTCCCGAAGGCTTTGTTTCTGTTTGGATTTGCAAATAGATTTTTTTCAGGCCCCGCCATCAAATATGGAATAGAAATTGCTCCCTTATTTCTCACGAGACGGCGGGGCCAATCCGCACGGCTCACTCCATTATGCAGTCTGTTTTCCAGTGAGCGCATCACAAGTTTTGCCTCTCTTTCTCTTGCTCTCTCATCCCTAAACTAAAGGAGTGAGGTCTTCCTCACTGTTCTTGACTGAAGGTCTTCCTCTGGAGTCTGTTCAGTCCTACAGCTAGTGTAATTCCAAGCAAAAATTGGAAGTTTAACTTCCCTCCTGTAATGGGGGTCTTTGCTTTCTTGTCACTGAGTAGGTTGTAATGTATTCTGACAGGAGAAGAGGAAAGGGAAAGAGGATAGGAGAGAGAGAGAGCTAACAGGGTCTCAGCAGAAACTAGCTCTCAGTTTGCTAATGGACCTCTGGAGACTTTGTCCACAGAAGCAAACTTTCATTTTTAAACCAGACCTCCTAAAAAACAGCTAATAAATGGAGTCTGTACTACATGGAAATGCAACTACAACACCACTTTACATTTTCGAACAGCTAAGACTAAAGAACGGTGTCTTGTCGTTTCATCACATGGCAAATTATACAAACATTGAGCCTCATTCATGAATCACTAACAATGAATTTGCATAGATGACAATTTATGTAAAAATTGTATTACAAACTAGTATGACAAAATTATATGTTATACATATTATGTGACAGTTCATGCAAAATGTTCATAGCTGATGTTTCAAGAATGAGATAAAATGTTTACTAAAATACTATGATTTTCAGTTTAATTTCACCTAATTAAATGCTTTGTTTTTAGGTTTTTTGTCATCTGTAATATGATTATCAAGTTTAAATCAGCAAACATTTATCCAAGAATGTTTTATGAACATGGTGTTTAATGAGTTTTACATGGGTGTGTTGTTCACTGTGATTTTGCTAATCCTTTTTGTTTGCATTTATTTCATAACATCAACGTTTACCTAATTTTATAGATTTATTTTTATCCATGGAAAGATTTCAAGCATAGTTGCTGTGCATTGATCCCTGAAGCACTGCATTAAACAATGCTGTGGTTTGCTGCCACCGCTGCTGCTGTTGTTGTTGTTTTTGTTGTTGTCTTCGCCAGCTTATGCAAGAGGCTCGACTGGCGGTAAACAGGGCTCGGAGGGGATGGGGGGTGGGTGCTGTAAATCTCTCTCAGCTTCCCTCCCTCCGTCACCCCCTCCCTGTAGCCCCTTAAGCTGTAATGGACCATTAGAAATGCAAGACAATTAACTATCAATGGCGGAAGGAGGGGGCTCCACACGCCCTCCCACCCACATCTCTCACACAGTTTTCAGTCCACGCAAGCAGGCGAAACGAAGAGAACGAGATGGCTATGTTTCATTTGGGCCACATGTATAACTGAACACACTTTCTCGTCCATTTGTGATTAGTGTTTTGTGTGTATATGCTCACTCGCGCTCTCTCTCTCTCACTATAGCAACAGCAGCAGCAGCAGTTGGCGGCACAGCAGCTGGTCTTTCAACAGCAGCTCTTGCAAATGCAGCAACTGCAGCAGCAGCAGCACCTGCTCAACATGCAGAGGCAGGGCCTCCTCTCTCTGCCCCCCGGCCCAGGACAGCCCACCCTCCCCGGACAGACTCTGCCGCCAGGTAAAGTCCTCACGTGATCATCTGAGAGCGTGCGTGTGTGGCTGCGTCCTCTTTTAAACTCCCCTTTTTGGTTTCCTGCTGCATTTTCCTTGCCATTTCAGTTTTTTTCTAGTTCTCGTTCTCTCTTGCCTGTGTCTGTGTGCTTGTTGTTTTCCTCTCTCCCCCTCTCTCTCACTCACTCTCTCTCTCCCTCCCCTCCTTGCCTGTTGTTGTTGTTTACGGACTCGCAGTGCGAGCTCAGAGCTCTGAGGAAGAGGAGCTGTTGCCATTTGCTTTTTTCCTGGAACAAACACTTGGTGCTACTGTGTTTATCGAAATGGCGCTGGATAACAATAGTTTGAAAATGGCTCTTAATTGGAGTATAGCCGGGGCAACATGAAGCGGAATAGTCATTTTATCATCCAAGGGATTATATGATGATTTGATTCTGCACACAGAGGCTTGTTTATGAATGCATAATCATGTGCAGATGAGTTCCTGGTTGCTTTGCACCTTTGGATACCACGGAAACGAAGCAAGGGATGAGCGTCCAGGTTGATCTTGTGCCGGTTTACCTCCAGATGCTTAAGTGTGATGCTCAAGTTTCGCAACAGAGCAGAACAGGTTTACCTACCATGTTAGAAAAGGGTAGACGGGAGCTCATAATGGGAGTTTCGTGAATGATTGTGTCTGTAAACCTGTTTGTGACTCTCTTGCAGCTGGTCTGAGCCCCGCCGAACTCCAGCAACTTTGGAAAGACGTCACTGGTAGCCACGCCATGGAGGACAATGGGCTAAACTCTCTCTCTCTCACTATAGCAACAGCAGCAGCAGCAGTTGGCGGCACAGCAGCTGGTCTTTCAACAGCAGCTCTTGCAAATGCAGCAACTGCAGCAGCAGCAGCACCTGCTCAACATGCAGAGGCAGGGCCTCCTCTCTCTGCCCCCCGGCCCAGGACAGCCCACCCTCCCCGGACAGACTCTGCCGCCAGGTAAAGTCCTCACGTGATCATCTGAGAGCGTGCGTGTGTGGCTGCGTCCTCTTTTAAACTCCCCTTTTTGGTTTCCTGCTGCATTTTCCTTGCCATTTCAGTTTTTTTCTAGTTCTCGTTCTCTCTTGCCTGTGTCTGTGTGCTTGTTGTTTTCCTCTCTCCCCCTCTCTCTCACTCACTCTCTCTCTCCCTCCCCTCCTTGCCTGTTGTTGTTGTTTACGGACTCGCAGTGCGAGCTCAGAGCTCTGAGGAAGAGGAGCTGTTGCCATTTGCTTTTTTCCTGGAACAAACACTTGGTGCTACTGTGTTTATCGAAATGGCGCTGGATAACAATAGTTTGAAAATGGCTCTTAATTGGAATATAGCTGGGGCGACACAAAGCGGAATATTCATTTTATCATCCAAGGGATTATATGATGATTTGATTCTGCACACAGAGGCTTGTTTATGAATGCATAATCACGTGCAGATGAGTTCCTGGTTGCTTTGCACCTTTGGATACCACGGAAACGAAGCAAGGGATGAGCGTCCAGGTTGATCTTGTGCCGGTTTACCTCCAGATGCTTAAGTGTGATGCTCAAGTTTCGCAACAGAGCAGAACAGGTTTACCTACCATGTTAGAAAAGGGTAGACGGGAGCTCATAATGGGAGTTTCGTGAATGATTGTGTCTGTAAACCTGTTTGTGACTCTCTTGCAGCTGGTCTGAGCCCCGCCGAACTCCAGCAACTTTGGAAAGACGTCACTGGTAGCCACGCCATGGAGGACAATGGGCTAAAACATAGCGGCCTGGACCTGAGCACCACCAACAACTCATCCACTACCTCCACCAGCAACCCCAAAGCTTCTCCGCCCATCACCCATCACGGCATTTCCAACGGCCAGTCCCCGGTCCTCAACCACCGGAGAGAGAGGTACTCTAACACACACATGCATGCTAAAGCTAATCTGAAGGGCGCTGGTTTATTCTTCCGCTCACCCGATCACCATTGGGTCCTTGAGATCCAGCTGGATTGGCCAAGTAAAGTCACTTTGGATAAAAGCGTCTTCTCTGTTTCACTCGACACACTCCGAATCCCTTTTCAGACATATGTTATCACAAACCACCCGATAAAGGGTCTTGTGTGCACATGAACACAAAGACATGTTAACAAACACAAACCAAACAGCCATTTAAACTACTTTTCATGTGCGACACAAAAAACCCCCCGAAAGAACAGTTGATGTGTTTGTCCCCATTTGCAAAAGGAAAATGCTCGTTCCTGCAGGGAGAGGGCTGTGTGTTTTTGTTTGTTTGCTCATCAATAGTTTATTAATGTCTGAATAACAGTTGAAATGAGATAAAACCTCCCTCGAGACAGTGCGCTATTGAACGCAATGCCTTCCGGTATATCAAATGCATGGAGGTGCAACTTTCAGTGGCAGGAACACACAGCTCACCTCACTGTACATTAAGTATTTAATACCTTGCTTTTCTTTTGAAATTGCTTTGCTGGCGCGCCTTGTCATGTAAATAGAATTCACTATGCCGGTGTGGCATTTACTGAACGTTTATACGCGCATCGGCCCTTTTATATGCTCCGCGGCTGCTGTAAGGCATAGATTCGCATATTTCTCCATGTATTATTCAGTCTGTAGCAGCCATATGTTAGTACATAGCAACAGCCGTTGACTTCACTGGGGGTGGATGTGTTGTGTAATTGGTTTCAAGTACATAGCGTCTTCACAGAAAGCCCTTTCTTGAGAGAGATATCTTTAGAGGCAGAGAAAGAAAAAACGGAGAGAGAGACAGGGAAATAATTTAAGAATAGGTTACACTCTTTTCTTGTGTGTTGAGTCTCTCGAGCCCACGGTCGTTCATAGTCACGGAGTGTGTTGTGTTGTCAGAGCCAGCTGCTTTCTAAGATGTGCTGGATCGATAATGGCAAGGTAAAACAGCCGGTGAGGTTTGTGTGTGTGAGCGTGTGCCGCACACAAACACGCCGTGCTAGTCTGCTTAGCCTCACTTTCGCACATTAGCCCCTCAGCACCATTAGAACTGGCGGTCGTAACTTACCGCAATGTCTTTTCACAACAGGTTGTGTCCTTAAAAATGCCCGTTCCACCGCAAATGAATCTCCTGGTGAAAATTAAAGCGCAGGGGCCAGTTTTCTGCTATTTACACAAGTTCTCCATAATGGCTTTACAAGGTGAAAGTCTGTGGAAAAAATGTTGATGGGTGATTTTACTTGGCCGGGCCATGTGTTTTTTAATACACTCGTGTCTCCTCAGTAATACTCTGGATCAATAATTACAAGGTGGCCTGATGTTGAGGGAGAGCATGTGTGTTTTTTCAGCTTTTCTGAGCATCAAGTCCACCAAATTTGACCCAACTTTTGGTCCTAGTATCCTGACAGGTACCACCACCATGTTTTCCACCACGTTTTAATGCTCATTATTTCTCTTTCAGTTCGCTGCATGAAGAGACCGCAGCAGCGCACTCCCTCTATGGTCACGGAGTGTGCAAGTGGCCAGGATGTGAAAGTGTTTGTGACGACTTCGGACAGTTTTTGAAGTAAGTGATCATAAAGACACCATAATTGCATTTATATGCACTTAAAAAGTTTCAGTTGGCCTAAAGTAGTAATTTTCCTTTGTATGTCTCTTTTTAATGCTTATTTGATGCTTAGTTGTTACTTTTTTCCTCCAATGACAAACTAATTTTTCAATTTATAAAGTTTTCAGACTTCAGTTCTTGTACCTAACTGTAAATCCACAAAATGGATGGTGAGTCTCCTAACAGATTTCCCAAAGGCGCCTGTCAGCCCTTCATAGGCGGCGCTCACAAATGACCATGCATCTCCACGGCTACGTGAGTGGATGATGGGCTAGCGTTGACAGGCAGAAGCTAATGGCAACCTGCGTAGCCGTGTGGTGTTGTCATGGTGCAGCTAACGGAGTGAAATTAACTCTTCATGCTCCATCAACAATTTAGTTAATTAGCTCATTTGTAATTGGTCGGCTTTGTTGCCGAGACGTGAGTGGGGGACATCAAAGGAGAAGGTGTTTGCTGTGCTGGAGATTGCAGGTTATCACGTTGCCACTCCGAGGAAAGAGCCTCACCATCAAAGAATGGAGAAAATGGTTTATTTGAATATTCTAATTAGGTCCGTAATTAACTGTGAAATAATAATCTGGTGCGTTTGGTGGGTGTAAATGTCCAGTCAATTCATGAAAACAGCTTTTGAGAATGGCAACGTTGTTCTGTACCTTTATAAACGGGCTAGATGTAATCTAACGAGTCCATTCCAAACAAGTCAAGAATTTAGCACCTTTGAGTGAGTTACCATTTAACTGGTTGGTTATGACTGTCAAACAAAAGACTGCATATACCTTAAAGTACAAGTTTAATTAACCCCGTCTACTCCATTGACGTTCATTGCGGCACAGCATACATCAGAGATCATGTGATCATTTCCCGCCAAATTCAGCTGGTGTGCAAATCATTGGTTGAAGAGAACTAAATAAAAATGCTCCGCATCTGACAGCCTGTTCGGTAGGATGCCATTACAGCAATCATCCTCCAAATCTTCGTCGAAATGGGGGCGAGACACCCTCGTTCGCTCCCAGAGTCAGAGACGCCCGTACTGTAACTCCTACATGAAAACGCTCCCACAAAAGACAGCATGATCTGAGATGGCGGGTGGCGCCGTGCCTTGGAGGAGCGATTGTTGGTGTCAGAAAGAAGCTTTTAATGTCGTTCGGAGATGCCAGTCACTGCTGCGTATCATCCAGGTACACACGCTTAAAATGGTTTACATAAAATAGGTGTCAGATTCAAATGGCACCTTTGATGGGGAAGCAGGGGGCGGAGGGATTCACCCAACCTGTACAGGCTTGTAGCTTGCGGAGAAGAAACCAGCCACGGTTTTGTAATCTTTGTTGTGTTGCTGAGAAAGTTGTCAAGATCAGCATTTAAGCGTAGCTCTGCACTCTTTCATGCACTGCGCACCTGTTGACGTTCATTGCGGCACAGCATACATCAGAGATCATGTGATCATTTCCCGCCAAATTCAGCTGGTGTGCAAATCATTGGTTGAAGAGAACTAAATAAAAATGCTCCGCATCTGACAGCCTGTTCGGTAGGATGCCATTACAGCAATCATCCTCCAAATCTTCGTCGAAATGGGGGCGAGACACCCTCGTTCGCTCCCAGAGTCAGAGACGCCCGTACTGTAACTCCTACATGAAAACGCTCCCACAAAAGACAGCATGATCTGAGATGGCGGGTGGCGCCGTGCCTTGGAGGAGCGATTGTTGGTGTCAGAAAGAAGCTTTTAATGTCGTTCGGAGATGCCAGTCACTGCTGCGTATCATCCAGGTACACACGCTTAAAATGGTTTACATAAAATAGGTGTCAGATTCAAATGGCACCTTTGATGGGGAAGCAGGGGGCGGAGGGATTCACCCAACCTGTACAGGCTTGTAGCTTGCGGAGAAGAAACCAGCCACGGTTTTGTAATCTTTGTTGTGTTGCTGAGAAAGTTGTCAAGATCAGCATTTAAGCGTAGCTCTGCACTCTTTCATGCACTGCGCACCTGGAGAGGGGTAGCCAAGAGGTGCCTGGCACATTATATTAGCTCTGAAGTTCAAATAGATGTGTGTGAATGTGCGTGCAAGCAAGCTGGTACACCTCGAGACGTGTGTATTAATGCAACAAAGCATGCATCTTGAGGGTTTGATTCGGGGCAACTTATTTGGGGGTTATGTGCAGCTATAAGAGGGGGCTAATGAATTCATAGCATTCTAATGTTGTTCTGCCACGCAGGCGATTTTGTTATTGTTTAAGCTCCAGATTGCTGCCCTAGTTCCCTTATTGATTTCCTCTCACATGTTTGAGAAGAGTCAGGATGAGTAGGGAGAGAAAAATACAGACATACCCGCTGGCCTGTAATAAAGATTGATGTGCTGTCAACGCTGTAGTGTCTTTCCCATGTGGATGCAATATGAGCTTGTGTATCTCAGTAAACAAACTCTTGCCCATTCTAATGGGGGTTTTGCAGGGGAATGAATTGTCCTTTTCACCTCTTTAACATTTAATACTGGAGAAGCAACCTGCCGAGTTTCCGCCACTTAGAGTGCTGAGTCTTAAACTGGACGCTAATGAAGGCCAACAGGAAGTCCCAGGTTAGATTAATCAAGCCCATGCCCAATTGATGGTGATGAGTCCTTTAGAAATTGTGAGTCATTTGAGAATTAGCTAAATGATTTGATTGGTCCATGTTGGCTGGAAAGGCCTAAGTATATCCTAACTCAGCTGATTTCATTCTATCTGTGGTTTTTGATGCACTTCTCAGTCCGTTGCGTACCTGTCCGTCTGAGCCCTCATTCCCCATCTCAAAACAAAAATCAATATGCCTATAAAGTGACCCATAAATTACAGGCGGCTCCAGAGATGTTTGCTCAGAGCGAGCGGGCGGCCCCGTCTCATTCTCCTCTCACCTCTCTGTTTGAACTAAACCCAGCACCACAGGCTCATTAAGAAATATTGGTGACTGCATCTAACCCCCCTCCAGCCCCCTGCTTTTATCAATGCATAGTCAAGCACCTACTGCCTGAATATTTCATAGCCATGCAGTAATCTGGATGTAATCACCAGCACTAACTAGCTCTAGCTATTGTTAGCACTCGCTAAAGACTGTTGTGCTATATTATGTTCCTGTGGCTCAGTGGTAGAGCATTGCGTTAGCAGCGCAAAAGGTTGTGGGTTCGATTTCCAGGGAACACACTTACTGGTAAAAAATGTATAGCCTGAATGCACTGTAAGTCAAGCGTCTGCTAAATGCATAAATTATTATTATTAAATTATTTCATTCTGCTGGCTATTAAAAAAGGTAATTGTGACCTCATTTCTCACAATTGCTGCTTAATATTTCACAATTGTGACTTTATAACAGTTTATTTCTTATAATAATTGAAACTATATCTTACAACTGTGACTATATTTGTTTTAATAATTCCTTTATTTTTCCACATAATTGCGGCATATCTTTCAATTGTTTCTTAGTGTTTCACAACTGCAACTTTGTATCTCTCAGTTGCGACTTCATGTCTAAGACTTGTGACATTCTCATAACTGTGCTTATATATCTCACAGTTATGACTATTTTTAATAATTGTGACTCTCTATCTCCAAAAAAGCATAAAGAACCTATTATTTTACACTTTCTGACAATTACATTTATTTTATTTACTCTTGGAGAAGGAAACGGGCTTCCATTAAAAAAGAAAACCTCACGTTCCTAAAAGAAACAAGGAAACAAGATTAAGATCTAGATCTAGATTTAGGTCGCTAATGAGAAATGGGACGTGCGAGATAAGATGTGTTATTTAGCGAGCTACCTGTCGGGATGGTGGATCTAGTCAGTCGTGGCTTTTGAAGCAGCTGTAATTTATGACATCCACCATACATCTAGTGTGTAAGATAGCATTATGAGCATTGAAATGAAAAGGGTATTTGCAGCATTAGTTCCCTGCGAGGGACCTGATTACATGATTAATGAAATGCCCCTTTGCATGCGCATTCTGAAACAGCAATTAGGCATGGGGCCGGAGAAAGGCACCGACTCTCCAGTCATCCTTTTTTTTTTCTTCATGTTCAGTGCTATCTCACTCTTGATTTATAATGGAGAATATCTGAGCATTAGACCTGAAATGGTTACAATAGCAAAAGCAGGCGTGATGGAATGAAATAATTTTAAATGGGCATAGGCGTAATTGAAAGGTAGCGGCGGCCATTGTGTTCTCAAATGTCCTCTCTTTGATTGGCGTGTTTGAGGAGGATTATGAATACGTTGTTATTTTGCGTTTTGCACATAAACAATAGCTTGCACTATGAATAGAGAATGAATAGAGAAAATGCTTAGTAGTGTTAAAACTAGCTCGGTGTGGGTGGGTGTGTGTTTGCGTGCGAGTGTGTGTGCGTGCAATTTAAGCTCACACTAATGCACTGGAGGTTGTACTGTAAATGATCATTGAAGGGTCTGCAAGCTAACCTATAATTACAGGAAAGAGAGTGGCAGCAATGGCATTTCACAAGCATGTCTTCTAAAAGAGCGCTTTGTGGGTTTGTCACCAATGATAATTTAGATAGAGGCTCATTACCGAACATCACAACACTTTTAAAAACCTTTTCGCCTCCATGCGTTTGCCGGGAATAAAGGTCTATTTTAATGGCGGGCTTCTTTTGTGTCCTGCAGACAAAATCCAATCAAGAAAAACTGCCATTGACTGCTCCTGCAGTCTGAAGTGGTTTTTTTTTTCTGCGTAATATTCTAATGAAAGGATGAGTAGATACATTTAATATGTCGGCGGAATAATGCACTCTTCGTAGGAAGCGCTTTTTAAACGTTACTCGAGTTAAATTACATTTATTGTATTTATTTCTTGATAAATGTAGAAGACAAAACCTCTGCGCAAAGCCTTTTGTACACCAACATCCCTCATAAGCCGTTGTGTTCTGAGAGCTGCTTCTCATTCACATGACAGTCGCTCTATTGTGATGTTAAACACCGGCTTTCAGCGAGCGTGGGACACACTTGTTAGACGGTGGCGGTTTGTTAAAAGCTAATGGGCTGGACGTCCTGTAATCCAGAAATCATATTCATCAACAACAGTGATAGTTGATCAACAGCAATGGTCTATTATTAGTTCAGCCTGTGTATGTGTGTGTGTGTGTGTGTGTTGGTTTCTCATCCGTTTCTCCTGTTCACCCACAGGCACCTTAACAGTGAACACGCTCTGGACGACAGGAGTACCGCCCAGTGCCGAGTACAGATGCAGGTGGTACAACAGCTAGAGATACAGGTACAGTAGACACAAGAATACAAGCATATATGCACTTAAAGAAACAGTTCACCCAAAAATGACAGTTCTGGCATCATTTACTGAACCTCATGCCAAATGTGTATGACTTACTTTCTTCTGTGGAACACAAAAGAAAGTGTTTGAAAAATGTATTGATGCTTTGGTGTCCATACAATGAAAGTTAGTTTAGATCAGAGTTAGTTTGGACCCCACTGACTTTAATTGTATGGACCAAAACTTTTTTCAAATATCTTTTTTTCTTGTTTCACACAAGAAAATCATACAGGTTTAGAATAATATGAGGGTGAGTAAACGACAGAATTGATATTATTGGGTGAACGATCACTTTAGAGACATTCACAATGCATGTATGATTTGTAGGCTGATTTCTCTACAAATTGAAAATATTGTTGCATTATCTAAACATTAAACTAACCTGACTCAGCTTAGCTTTACCTAGTTTGTGTACTATCTTATAATCTTGTTTCACACAAGAAAATCATACAGGTTTAGAATAATATGAGGGTGAGTAAACGACAGAATTGATATTATTGGGTGAACGATCACTTTAGAGACATTCACAATGCATGTATGATTTGTAGGCTGATTTCTCTACAAATTGAAAATAGTGTTGCATTATCTAAACATTAAACCAACCTGACTCAGCTTAGCTTTACCTAGTTTGTGTACTATCTTATAATTGAAACTTTACATTGTGTATGGAAAATGTTGTTCATTATGATTGCTTGTGACATTTATCATTTGGATAAAAACATCTGCTAAATTAATAAATGTAAGCATTGGCAGGTTGCAAGTGGGGCTGTCTGCTTATCCTGTGGCAGATAGTGAAAGTGTTCAGGAAAGGTGTTTGAAAACAATCATTATTTAGATTATAGTAATTCAGAGCTAGACTGGATTTTATGCATCAGAACTTGATTTGATTGTGAAAAGTAGGTTTTCAGTACCTACATGTTTTGCTTGATTTTGATTTCATCATGTTGTCTTTAACACACACTTGTTCAACTTTAACTGCTTTTTTGCAGCATAACACCAAACATTTTGTTAATTAGCTTGTTGCCATAAAAAACTTGCAGCGCATAAAGTGTAAAAATGCAAAAGGGACACCTTGAGCAAATCCATCCCAACAAAGGTGAAAACCATCACAGGCCTTTATAATTGAATCATGGTTTGTGCTTATTTTCTATCCCATCCAATTAATATGCGCGCATCTGGGCTGGACTGTGTTAATTAAATACACTTTGCACCTGAAGGAACCTCTAAAGAGAGCCACTATTTTCAGTAGCTGGAGCATGACCTTATTAATGTGTCATGCTGGCGAGATAATGAGAGCAGTGATTGAGGGATGCTATTACTCAGCGCTGTGACCATCTCTCCCGCCAGTTAACGCTCTGTCCTTTGCCTCACACCTTCTGGTGCATCATGGGATGCGGCACACAGGGTTAAAATCCATCTTTCTTCTGTTAATTTCAAATAAATAACCAGTTTTGCTTGCAGAATAATTGCGGCCTGTGCTTATTTTTTATCTAAATCTAGCGGTTCCCTTGCGTTTACACACGCAAGGAGCTGCCTCGCCTTTGTGGTGCGGATTGCTTTCTGACCGTGGCTCCTCTAAGCCTTTGTGATGCCATCTGAATGCAAGCCAAGCGTTCCCCTCAACCTTTAAAGGTTTTTACGCTCTGCGAAACCCTCCCTATTTATTTGTTGGGCTCTTGAAACAGAACAATGAATAATTCTTGTTTATATGTAAAATAACAGACGGACATTGTGATTTCTCCCTTGACTTGTTCTCTTGTTCGCTGATACCACAAAGTCGGCGTGCTTACACTGTGACCAATTACAGCAGAGCTGCTGTTTTCTGTCCTTCTGGGCTTTTTTTTCCACTCTCTGTGGCATTTTTGTATTTTTTTTGTCCTCCGTCAGTGGTAATGAGGCCCGGTTCAGAGCTCGAATGCCGGCTCACCGGCGGAGTTCAAGGCGGTGCGCCGTGCGGACCGGTCCCTGTCACTCTCTGTGAGTTAGATTGATGATAACAGATCGCCGGGGCACTAACTGGACCTCGGAGGACCCGGGTGGAGGAAGGGAGGCGGGACCGACTGGCACTCTGTTTGCGGGACCCCTTCACCTCTCAGCAGCTGCTAGATCCAGTCCAGCCCTAACAGTGTCCACAGGACTTTGAGTCGCCGACCAGGACCCTCTAATTTATGGCCTGAGTAGCTTGTTACTGTCAGAGCTTTGCTGACCTAAATTCTGCTATTGACAAAAAGATGAAGTGCTATTTGTTTTCCGTGACCTCCGAGCACCACCTTCAGCTCTCCATCACCGCACCACGAGGAATGGTTCTCTTATCTTTGCTTTAATCTACCTCTCTCTCGCTCTCAGTGGTTCTCAACTGGTTTTGCTTCAGAACCCAAGGACATCAAGTGTCCAACACTGTACTAAACTGCTTCTTCTTGTTTAAAAGTAACAAAAATCCTCAAAATCATACATAAATGGGAATCACTTTGCAGTAAGGTTGTATACCTAAATTTTTTACATGAAGGAATACTTTTCTGGCATTTATTCATCTTGGTTAATGTGAACTTTCACACATACTAATATGTGACCCTGGACCACAAAACCAGTCTTAAGTGTCAATTTTTCAAAATTGAGATTTATACATCATCTGAAAGCTGAGCTTTCTATTGATGTGTGGTTTGTTAGGATAGGACAATATTTGGTCGAGATACAACTATTTGAAAATCTGGAATCTGAGGGTGCAAAAAAATCGAAATATTGAGCAAATCACCTTTAAAGTTGTCCAAATGAAGTCCTTAGCAATGCATATTACTAATCAAAAATTAAGTTTTGATATATTTACGGTAGGAAATTTACAAAATATCTTCATGGAACATGATCTTTACTTAATATCCTAATGATTTTTGGCATAAAAGAAAAATCTATAATTTTGACCCATACAATGTATTTTTGGCTATTGCTACAAATATACCCCAGCGACTTAAGACACATATATAGGCTACTGTTACACAAATATAAATAATTGCCTGCAATTTATTTGGGTATTTCACAATCCTATGTTGAAATGATGTGTATCTGCATATCTTTAAAATTGAAAAGCAAAGCTTTACATGCAAGATCAAGGGAAGAGAAGTTTCTGAATAGTTATGTATATTGTTCAATGTTCAATTCATAGATGTACAAACACCTCAACTAATAAATGACAAGAAAACAATCACCGCTATCACTGGAAATATACAGCCGACTCTACAAATCATGTCTTCACAAATCTACTCAATCTGAATGCAATTTTAGGGCAAAATACTATTTACACTCACTGACTTTAACTTTGCATGTTTAAAAGTGCAAGATAAAACTGAGTAAGTGAATAAGTGCATTCTGATTTTTCACTTGCTAATAGATGAAAAGGCTTACGGTATCATTTTTCTCCGTGCAGGTTGGAACATGATCCGTTTCACCGTTTATGCTGTTGTCCTGCAGGGTGTTTGATTTTCTTGCACTTGTGCCGTGATAGGACAATATTTGGTCGAGATACAACTCTTTGAAAATCTGGAATCTGAGGGAGCTAAAAAATCTAAATATTGAGAAAATCATCTTTAAAGTTGTTCAAATGAAGTTCTTAGCAATGCATATAACTAATCAATTGATCTATTTACGGTAGGAAATTTACAAAATATCTTCATGGAACATGATCTTTACTTAATATCCTAATGATTTTTGGCATAAAAAAAAATCTATAATTTTGACCCATACAATGTATTTTTGGCTATTGCTACAAATATACCCCAGCGACTTAAGACTGGTTTTGTGCTCCAGGGTCACATATATTTTAAACTTTAAGTTTAAGAATTAATATTCACCTAGATTAATACATGCTGTAAATAAATGTATTTAATTGTTAGTTCATGATGCCTAATTCATTATAATAAGGTTCTATATGGTAACATTTATTAATGCAATTTGTTTATATTGCCAAGAACTATATAGGCCACGAAATATGCAAAATTAGTGACGTGACAAAATTCAACATTTTGTTTAAATGCATAAAACAGACAAATGTTGTATATTACCAACTGACAGGTGAATTTGCTCTGAAATAGTTAGAAGATATATGATGTGTTTTCCTCTCCTTTTTGAAAGTTGATGTTTAGCCTGTTTATTGTTCTATCCTTACTCTACTCAAGTGTATGGTTAATTGCATTTTTTATTTGCATTTAGCATTGCTGTTTTGCAGCTGTCCATGACCCCATTGGAAAAGACCTCTAGCTGTTTTTTGGGTCACGACCCACCGGTTGAGAACCACTGCTTTATGTCTGTCTTTGAGGCGAGCTTAAGGAAGCCGGTCTGGCCGTATGCAGGATTTATTACAAGCAGACAAGCTTGATAACAAGATGTATTACTGTGGTAGTCTGGGGAAAATCACTCATTTCTAAAACCGGTCTGTTTTCTTTTTTCTCTCTCTCCCGCCATCTTTCCGCTAACAGCTTTCTAAAGAGCGTGAGCGTCTTCAGGCGATGATGGCACACTTGCACATGAGGCCCTCAGAGCCCAAACCATCACCAAAACCGGTGAGTGCATATTGGTACGCGTACAGTAAACAGGACTCGGATGGTAAATGAGCTCTCTAAACACAGCTGGAGGATGAGAGGAGAATGGGATTTGTAATGCCTGCTTTCTTGGGACCCTATCAGGACCAAGAGAGCATTAAATCATACACCCGATCGCAGCCAAAAACGCAGAGCCATTACACTCTGATGGCTTTAGCACAGCAAACAACCTGTTGGCCGGTAAAAGATGTTTAGCGCCGCCACCGCAGGCGCACTTAAAGTAGGGGGAAGACATTTCGTTTCAGAAAACAAACAGTTTGAAATGATAGATGGAAACTGCGAGAAGATGATCTGTGAAGAAATAACCAGTAATATGTAAACATTCAGAGATATAGCTGTGTATTTGGAGAAAAATGGAGCAATATATCAAAATGGCCCATCTGTCTCGATCCCTGTAGACAAAAAAACATCAGATTTCACCCAAAGACATTCTTAAACCTTAATCAAAAACAAAATACAAAAGACATAGAGTGTTGTGCTGGAAATTAAAGTGTTTACAAAAGAGAGCAGGCTGTGATAATAATTATTTATTGGAATTATTTATTAGCTATTCAATATTTTGCGGAGGAAAACATTGTTAGCATGTTGCCACCGCTTAGCAAGTAGCTAATTTCACCAGCATAATTTTTTTCTCATCACCTCCCACCGTATAAAGCAGATAATCACAAGACAGAATAATTATCCTGTAAATCCATCAGGAATCGACTGCTCACCTCTGTCGATTTATTATTCTGGGTTTTTTTTTTTTCCTTTTTCATCCTCAGAACTCCAGCAGCTTGGTGAAATCGACTCTAATAAAAAACGTTCAGCCTATAATCCACGACCGCATATGAATGAATAATATTAATGAAGTATTACATTACATAAACCGCACATGAAAGGATTGCTAATTGCATTTGATGATGAGCAATTAATGGTGAGTTCTTAAATAATCAGCGAGGGTCTGCGATTTTTTTCAGCTCATTCCTTTTTGTCTTAGTGCAAGTGTCGGGCTCACGCAAATGCTTTAATGTTATCGGTTTCGCTGTTACCAAAGAGAACACGTGTATCCTCCCCACAAAACAGGGATGTTACAGATAATATGGCGGTACTTTAACACCCTTGTACACACAGGGCTGACAGAGAACCGTCCCACACATTTGATAAATATTAACAGTGCGAATTTATTAGCACGACAAAATGAGCACCGGCAAACCCTCAACAGCTATCAGTAGCCCAACACAAGGTGCTGGTACACTGTTATACGATCCCATTTAAACTCTGAATGGCACTTCATTAAATGTTACCTTTTGGCCATGCCATGGATGGCTGAAAATCAAAGTTACCAAGGCTGCTAGTCCTGAATAATGAGGGGCTCTTTTTTCCCAACCCCTTCCCTTTCTCTCAGCCAACCTTGAATATATATTCAGATGAGCAGCGGTAGTAAAAGGCTGATCCCTGTGTCTCATTCACTCCTGCTCAGTTAAGCTTTAATAAATTCCATTTTGCAAACACCGGATTGTATGCCTGCAAACATGTTACGCTTGTTGCCATAAGCAAGTGAGGAAAGAGGAGGAAAATCTTGTCTTAACATTTTAAATATACATGCAGAACACTCTCTATCTGTTTCCCCGCTCACTCACTACTGATAGGCTTTATTATGAAGTGCTTTTTTGCAGTGTTTGACAGTGTATCAAAACCTTTTTAGATGAGTAGTGTGTAATTACAGGCTGATGTGGTGGTTTGGCCGCAATGAGAAAGATATTAAGAGAGACAGTCCTCAAATCTGGTGCCGTGACCCGGCCCCTGACGAATTATACAATGTATTATACACATCAAAATACATTTTTGCAAGCAAGGACAAAGATGGGAATACAAATAAGAATAAATTTAGAACAAAAACCTTATTTGTCTCTCATATAACAAAGCTAGTTTTTGTTTTAGCATAAATCACACAATCACAATCAAGTTTGTGGGGGGGTGTTGTAACAGTAATAAAAAATCTTTTGTTTTTTTGTTTTGTTTTGTCAACATATGTGGCATATTTTGAAATGAAACAGAATATTTGTTGTATAAAATGTCAGCTTTTATTTTATTTTTAATAATGTGCAACAATGAAGTATTCATAATAAGACCAGGAAGTAATAGGGGTCAATTTTGATTTCATATTGACTTTAAGACACAAGTATTTACTTAGCATGTGATGTAATGTCAACAACATAACCGTTTACCCTTTTGCTAAGATGTCCCTCTGGTAGATCGCTCGTCTTTGTCATTAATTTCCTTTCAAGGTCTTAGTTCCAGTCGTTAGCCAGGATACAACATTCCTCTAGAGGAGTCATTGATTTCTTGCAAAGTGGTATAGCGCTTGCCACTCTCTGTTAGGCATTATCTCATTATCATTAAGTGGAGCTGTAATTGTCTATAGAGCAGCCACCTGAGAATAGCCAGCTTGACATTTCATTTTATTTATCAACACGTGACACAAACGATTGTTGATGTTCAACCGGCGGTCGTTTTTACATTTCCGACAGCACCGGAACTCCGCTTGCCCATTCACAGTTAAGGCAATTTGGTTTGAAAATAATGATGTCATTACCATTCGAAGGAATTAACAGCGAGACTAAAGGTCAGGGTGGAATTTTCCACTCGTGTGAAGTTGGGACACAAAAAAAAGTAGAGGATAAGTGCATATCGAAAAAAAAAAAACCCTGACTCCGTGTTTGGGTGGTAAGATGGAAAGAGAGAGCGAGATGGATCACTAGCGAGGCACCAGGTTATGGCAGGAAGCCAGGTGATGTTCTTCTCACCGTGTGTGTGTTTTGCATCCAGTGAACTCTTATGGGATAGAGATGGGCCAGGATAACTCACAGCCTGATCATTAGATAATCTTTAACAGCGTGCTCTAATTCGAATTCTTATAATACAATTTCATCCTGTAATTAGTGCAGATTGGCTGCTTCCTCCTTTGCTTATTAGGGGAAACACAGCTGTAAGAATGAGCCAGCACCCTCTCTCTCTCTTCTACAGCTGAATCTCGTCTCCAGCGTCACCATGTCAAAGAATCTCCCATCTGTCTCACCCCCCACCTTACCTCAGACGCCCACCACGCCTACCGCTCCAGTCACGCCCCTTTCCCAGATGCCCCAGGTGCCCAACGTTCTCAGTCCCGCCAACGTGCCCTGCATGGGCGCCATGCGCAGACACCACACCGACAAATACTCCATGCCCTTGTCCTCAGGTTTGTAGAATCTTTTTTTGTTCGCTCTTTGTTCGCTCTTTATGCAAATTAGGCTAAAATCAAATCATCAATATTCAATGCATTTTAATTACAGGCAAATATAAAATGATGCAATATTCAAGAAGGCGGTGCATGTAAAAACATCTTGTTTGATGTTTATATTTACTGGTCTTCCGCAAGTGTTGGAGCAGCGGGGAAGGCATGAATTATTCAAACACATACAAAATATCAATGCGGCCTCTAAATAAATTAGCTTTAGCCTGATTAGATTGTAATTAATTGCTGCTTGAATTAAATCTGGGTGAGAGTGCCTCGATGCATTCCTGTTTGCAACGCGCCGCTTAATGGCATCTCATCGCAGGGTATCATGGAGTCAGGTGACATGCAGCTAACGCTCAACGAAATCTACAGCTGGTTCACGCGCACCTTCGCCTACTTCAGACGCAACGCCGCCACCTGGAAGGTAACGTGCTACGGAGGCCTGCAAGGGACGTGGGCCGATTAACGGCAATCACCCCTCTTTGTAAACTGCCTCCTGAAAAGGACGAATTCTCTCTTTATCTCGCTCGCTCTCTCTGTGACAAGTGAAAGAATAATTCAGCCTCCGATATCGTTTTCTAATTTGGTGCAATTAATAGCCGAGTCTGGACGGGGAGGTGTGCGCTCTGACGTGCTAATTACTAACCAGCCACTCAATCATCAGCACCTTTTGTTAGACGTGGTGTATTACTGCTTTCTCAGTGTCTCCTTTTCATTTTTTCCTCCCTCCCCACCCTGCATATTATTGGTTAATTAATTTGAAAGATGGCTGTTTGCCTTGTAGACGCACTCCATTACATCCCCTTTCTTGTTGTTGTTGATGTCGGCCGAGGCTTCGTACACACTATAACTCATGCAGTGAGACAAAAAGCAAAGGAGAACAAGACAAATGGAGAGAGAGGTTAAGACCCACTTGGCTCTAAAGCACTAATGCCCCTGTCATCCAGGAAACACACTTTATTTCCCAGTACAAAAGGCCTCATTTGTATCTCTGTCCCAACAAATACATTGTCAGTCGGGGATAAAAAGAAAAGGAGGATACAATAAAAACCATTCTCTATTTTTAGACAGGAAAGCGCGGTGCGTGTCGATAAGATACACGGCCGTTTTTCCCTTTCTATTTTAACTCAGACACAGGTCCTCTCAAAGGCTTCTCCGGTTCTCATCAGCATGCGAAGCTTTTCTTAAAGCAAAAAAAAAACACCCGCCCCTCAAATAAAACATGAAAAAAAAGTAATATGAGCAAAGGTTATTATTTGGCTTCTTTGCTACGTTTTAATTTGATTTTTTTATGGCGACGTACAAGACTCGCCATATTTCTTTATTTTTCATTCATGCTTCTTGATTATGAAAGAGTGTTTATGGGTCATTTTGATGAATTGAATAAATATATTTTTGAAATTTTAATTAGTGATAGATTTTTTTTCCCTTTTAATTTCTAAACCTCAAACATCTACATTTCCTACTTATTATGGAGTTTAATCTTTAAATAACTGCCATAATTTAGTTTTAATCGCCCATAACATGTTACAACAACAATAGTGTTCAGCAGATGATAAGCTGTGATATTATTGGTTAATATTTTTACCCACCTAGGCTGCCTTGATTACACCTGCAGAAAGGTTTTTTTTGTTTTTTTTTTAAATAAAATGTACTGAAAAATCATGCTCACTAATACATTTATTGAAGTAAATGTACTCATTATATATTATATTTTTTTTATATATGTATGTTTAACAGAACGCAGTGCGACACAACCTCAGCCTGCACAAGTGTTTTGTCCGGGTGGAGAACGTGAAGGGCGCAGTGTGGACCGTGGATGAAATGGAATATCAGAAACGCAGATCTCAGAAGATAACAGGGTACACACACACACAAACACACTATAAATGTTTTTCAGATGCTGTTACAGTCAGATTAATAGTAATATACTTCAACATTTGTGTTGTTGTGTTCAGGAGCCCGACGCTGGTCAAGAACCTGCCATCCAGTCTGGGTTATGGGGCGGCTCTCAACGCCAGCTTACAGGTAACGTGTGTGTGTGTGTATGTGTGAGGTTGGCACAGGCAGTGAGAGTCTAGAAGGACACCATGTGGTAGAGGCAGGAATCCTTCTCTGCCAGCCTGGCCTCAGATTGATAGCAGCCTGTGCAAATGCGAGGGCATAATCATTAATATTTATCTAAACTGTCATAAATGATTTGGCTTCGCCGTGTCAGCCAGCGAGGTGCTCGTGGCAAAAACTTTAAAATTTAATTACTGTATATAACTTTAATGTGCAGGAGGCAAAAATGTCAGGAGTCTTTTTTTTTTTTCTTTGACTGTTTTGAGGTAAAGTTTTGCATGGTTTCATTATCATGTGGATGCTCGGGCTTTCTTTATTCGCTGTTCATTTGAGGCCTGTCTTGTAAGGTGAAGAGATTGTTTTTGCAACTTCGAAACTTTCCCGTTGTTTTTTTTCCTGCCACTTTGTGGCAGTTCTCATCTGTTTTTATCATACTGATTCTTCAGCAATAATTCGTAAGTAACTCAATAAAAAAGAGGAGATAATCTCGAACGAGCTGGAAGCCGTGTGCTATGACATGCCGACTGCTGAAAAGGCTTGAAAATGCTTGAGTATAACTATTCCCTCTCGCTCTCTCTTTCTCTCGTAGGCTGCGTTGGCGGAGACCTCTTTGCCGTTGCTGGGTAATCCATGCTTGATGAATAGCGCGTCAGGAATGATGGGGGCGAGTCATCCAGGACTGATGAGCGGCAGCCCGACCGGCCTATTACACGTCACCACGCATGAAGATCTCAACGGCACACTAGATCACCTGGACACTAACGGACACAGCAGTCCCGGATACTCCCCACACACCCAACTGTGAGTTCACACACACTATATGTGCATTTAGACATAAAACAGCACATTTAAAGTCTATACTGATTTACAAAATATTCAGCAGGGCTTGATTTCATCCAACAGGATTCGATTGGATCATGAAATGTGGGCTATAATTTTATTGTCTAATATTACTAATATCATTAATATTAATACAAAAATTTTATTTTTTTATGAGCAGTTTCATCAGCATGTTGTATATGTGGTCAATTGTTTGTGTTTAAGATCCTAAAATAATGTATTATAAAAATAACACAGAATAATTATTATTATTTATAAAAAATATTATACAGTTATTTTTAGCACTGATTCTGCAGTGGTATGAGTATTCAAAAGGTTCCTAAATTGTTTAAATTAAATTCACTCATTCCTAAATTACCTTTAAAATTCAATTCACTTAATTGACTAAACTTACTCATTACTCACAAGTTTCACACTTTATGGAAATAAAATGGGTTTCAAACTGCTCATTTACCTTAAATTTTGAGGGATGATGTGCATTTATTATAGTTTAGCAATAATAAAATAAAATTATTATGAATATTATTTATTTTAAAATATTTACCTTAAATGTTAAGGGATGATGTTTGGAAATTATAGCAAAAAAACAGAATATTGTACTTTAGCAATAATAAAATAATTATTAACGTGTTATTTATTAAAAAAAAAAAAAAATTATTTTAGTTTTTTCAGGTGTTTAGCATTGAACCAGCAGTGGTATGAATATTCGCAAGGTTCCTAAATGACATTTAAATTACATATGCATACAAAAAAAAGAATAATAATCTAGACCTGAAGGTTAAGTGTACATTTGGTTCTTGGATTACAGCTCTTACCTATAAATAGGTAAGAAGTGAAGGCTGCCGTAATTATAGATTCTCTTGTAATTACCCCACTGTCCGCATCGCAGAGGTTTAGATGTTATATTTTATGCAAGACCGTTCCTATTAATATTTAGCAGCTAACTCTATCATTAATTACTTGAAAATCTTTGCCTTTCCATCTTTTTTAATGGCTCACAGAGAGAAAGAAGGAGACAGAGAGAGAGAGCACAGGCTGATGAAAGATTAATGCGGTGCCGGTCGGAGGAATGGTGATATAGAACATGTGCTCGCCCTAATCAGTGATGTCACTCATGCTGGATGGCTGTGTTTACTGAGCCAAAGATAGTAGCACGAGCGCTAAGGGCAGCGGGAAGTGTGTTGCACGCCGTCAGACCTGCACACACACACATTTCATGCATTTTCATGCACAGAGTTGCTTACGCTAACCAAAGACCCTATTAGCTAAAATAACACACTGCACGCTCTGAAAATGTGTGTTAATAGGAGTGTGTTTGGTTCAGAAGTGGGACAGTAGTGTGAAATGGGCCAAATCTGAGATCCAGACAGAATCCCTGTGTATTCACTCCCTCAGGTTCTTAACTTTTAATAATGCACAGTTAAGTCTGGTGTTTCTAGACCCCCCTCTCTCTCTTTCTGCCTGTCCGTCTGTCATATTTTCTCTCTTTCTGGCTGAAGCGTTAAGACATAAATGCTCAATAAAGGTGAAATCTCTGTTACATGACCTCTGCATGCCCAAAATGGAAGAAATATGTTTTGCGAATGGCTTTTTCTGGGCTGCATTTAATAATGAAGAGGACAACATATTCACATTTTGTCTCCTGAGAAACAGAACAATTAGACTAACCTTCCTCTGAACATGTTGCTTTAATGGCATCAGTCAGACTATATGTGTATGTATCTTGTTTGGTGGAGAAAATATAATAGTTTGCAAGCAAAATTCAAAGATAATCTGATTGAAATTGAATATTGAAATTTTTATTTTTTAAATTCACTTTTTATCAAGTGAATTCTCAATGGATAAAATTAAGTAAAATTAAAATTTTCTCATTATTTATATATATATACTGTATATATTGCTGCAACTGACCAATCAGAATCAAGCATTCCACAGAACCGTGTAATAAACATTTTAAACATTATTATGCCCACACACTTGCACAAACATACTTGAAATTGGTAGTGTTTGCAGTCATAGTTGTCTTCGACCATTTTGGACAAGGGAAACGTCTTTACTCAAGCGCTGTGCCAGTGTCTACAGACACACACACACAGAAACTGGCACAGACTCCGGCTCCAGATTTTCTCATGCCAGCCACTCATTAATCACAAAATGACTCATCCTGACATCTTAATACAGTGGAGAAGGGACGGCAAGGACTAATCATTTCTCTCTTCCTCTCTCTTTCCTCCTCCAACCTCACAAGCATGCCGCTGATTTATAATTAATGCAAATGAAAGCTGTAAGCCATGCTTCTTCACATTAGGAGTAAAGGCCTGTGTCGAGCTTAATGGCCAGTGGAACGTCGGACCGACCGGGATCATTTGTCTCGCCGTAATATCTTTAAGTATATCTGTTTGTTATTGTACAATAAATGTAGCCAGCGGAACGTTAGGTGAGTGTTGATGGTCAACGGTGTCTTTTATAGCCTCATCAAACATTATTATGACAAAATAGATGTTTACTAACATTATAGCTTCAGTTTTATGGCTGTAGCGGCAGTGAAATGTACAAACTAATAAAAAATATGGCGAATTACAATGACAAAAATCTTTTTTTAATCACAGGTGAACATACTAACTATATATTACGTTTTGATGCCTAAATAGATTGTAACATCATTGTTATGGCTAAGATTGCAGAGAAATTATGAGAATGAACAATTTACATAAATAAAAAAAGTTTTAAAAAATTACAGTTTTACAGCATAAGTAAAACTATGAAAAAAGAACTTAAGTAATGAACAGAAAATGAAGACGAAATGGCCTTTCGCACCGCAGGAACATTTTCATAGTACCAGAACTAATTGTGGAACTACCCACTTTTTGGCGTTTTCGCACCACCGGAACTGGGTGCGATTTTAGTACCGGACTGCCTTTTTCGAGAACCAAATTAGCTCCTACTCCGGAGCAGGGTCTAACCAGCACAACTGGTTAGACAACAGACATTGATTGGCCAAACGTGTACGAAAACGCCCTCACCCGCCATGATTTAAAATGCTGTGTAAACATACTATAAACATTGTGTCAACTTATTTCGCAAGTATGGAGAACAGCGATAGATGGACGGACGCTGAAGTGCAGGCACTTTTGAACATTTACACAATGAAGGAAATCCAGTTGAAATTCGAAGGAACAAAACGTCCTCCATCCTCCTGTTGTTAACGTTGTTCTTGGCCCTGTCCCAAATGGAACACTTCATGTGCACTTGCGGTCTTACGGACTTACAATGGCCGCCGCGTGCGCATGTCCATTAAGTCCACGAGACCGTAGGGTGTCCCATTCATCATTTTAGCATTCAGAAGGGTGCTCGCGAGCGCCCCCTTTGCGGCCGTTATGCGCCCTCGATCCGCACTTCTGCTGAGCCCGCACTGGGGCGAGCTCCGCAGCAGACTTCTACCTGACAGTCAAAGCGGCATTACGTCACGAAAGTGCAGACTCAGAGGAAGACCGCAAGGGTTTAGGGTGCCATTTGGGACAGGGCCCTTCTTTTTTTCCGTTGTTGAACACCGCTCACAAATGACGTCGCTGTCGACCGGCTAACGTCACTTCCTAGTACACACTGTCGGTGCGAATGAAACCCTTTAAATGGTACTGGGAAATAGTTCGCGCAAAATCGTCCCGGTACTTTAGTACTGTACATTTAGTTCTGGAAAGCAGTGCGAAAGGCCCTAAATTAAAATCACAAAAACTTCTGCAATCGCAGGTGAATATACCAACAAGAGCAAGGCATGATGGGATATTCTCACCCAAAATTACATCGTTTGAAGACTAAAACTTGATCATTTGTTGCTACTTAATATCCTTAAGTGTATATCAGTTTGTTATTGTGTGATAAATGTGGCGGGCAGAAAGTTACACTATTTTATTATGGCAAAATAGATGTCTGTTAGCATCAGCATCATTTATATGTCTAAAACTACTAGAAGGAACTTTAGTAATGAGCAGTGACAAGTCAAAAACGTCTTTTATAGCACCATTTTGTTACAATGACAAAATAGATGATTGTGAACATTATACCAATGTTTTTATGGCTAATATGCCAGTTAAATGATGAGAACGAAAGGAAATTACAATAACGAATTCCATAAATTATGAAAATTATATGAAAGTATTTCAAATTATTACAAAGAAAAAATAACTAGTAATGGCCGATGGACATGCCAACAAGAGCATATCTTTACTTAAGATTACACTGTCGGACGACCAGACACCATTGTGCTTGAATTAATTGCTTTAATAAAGGAAGGAGGACTTTTTAGTTCGCATTCGCAGGTATTTCTTGAGGGTATGAAATATATCATTGTGGTGGTCTGGTGTAGTCGCCCCCTTTCTCTCCAGCGCACGTAGCCGAGAATAGGAGACAGAAACATCCTGGCGCTTCCACATCTGAATATTAATCTATTTTGCTATAAATATTAAAGTAATCTGTACCTTTTAAAATTCTTTTCATATTCAAAGTTCCCCGTGCCATTGATGAGCGTGACCCAGGAGAGAGCAGCCAGACACGGCCTAATACAGAGACTAGTTGATAAGGATTCCTCTCGTTCTCTTTCTCTCTCTCCAGTCCAGCGGGATTTCCTGATGCATCCGACGTGTCAGAAATAATTAGGTTTTGTCAGATTTATCATGGTAGCACAAACCTCTCTCCCTGCCAAGGGCTCGAGATCATGTTAAGCCTTGTTTGTGTATGACAGAGTTATTATTCTTGTTAGTAACCCTACTTCCGCCCTCTCTTCGGCATCTCGCCGCTCCTCGCCAAACCGCTCCGTGTTTTTTCACCATTTTTTTACCCTACATTTATTGACAGTCGGTAAAGATATTCATCCATTTGGAGTTAAAAACATGGATCATGGTGTCCGAGGCAACTGGCAGTCTGAAGTTGATTAATGGTGGAGTCTAGCTGCAGGTTGTCTCCTC